TGGTGGTGTGTAGGTCCCAGGATCATGTTTTAAAAGCTGCCTGGGGAGATGGGGACCTCAGACAGGTTACAGTGCCATAGACTCCCCCCTCCAACCCAGCTATTTGCTCCTGGGGAAACTATTGTTGCCAATCTTGGCCCAGCACCCATCAAACCATTCTCTTCAACCCCCTGCTGTGCAGCACACTTTCCCCTAGGGTTGCCAAACTCCAGGTGGGACCTGGAGATCTCCCACTGCTACAATTGATTTCCAGCTGACAGAGATCAGTTTCCCCTGGAGAAAATGGCTGCTTTGGAGGGTAGACCCTATGACATTATACCTGCTGAGTCCTTCCGCCGCCCCCCCCGCCCAATGCTGCCCTCTACAGAATCCACCCCCAAAACTCCAGGTATTTCCCTCCTTAGAGCTGGCAACCCTACATTCCCCTCAATGCCTGTTGGTAGGCAACTAAGCTTGGTCCTGTCACCTACTTTGGCCTTTGGGAGAAAACACATTGGGGCCAGTCCTGATAGGGTTGCCAACGGAAATTCCTGGAGATTTAAGGGATGGGGCCTGAAGAGGGTGAGGTTTGAGGAGGGGTGGGACCTCAGACAGGTACACTGCCATAGACTCCACCCTCCAAACCAGCCAGTCCCACATAGGGAACCATTGTTGCCAATCTCCAGGTGAGGGCTGGAGAGCACTCAGAATTACAACTGCTCTGCAGAAGGGAGGGCAGAAGTCAGCTGAAGTCAAAGGGGCAGATAATGGTAGGTTGATGGTTAGCTGGGAAGGAGATGGGGTTGCCAACTACATGCTGACAAATTCCTGGGGATTTGAGGGGTGGAGCCTGGAGAGGGTGGGGTTTGCAGAGGGGTGGGACCTCAGACAGGTAGAATGCCATAGACTACACCCTCCAAACCAGCCACTTTGTCCTGGGTAACAATTGCTGCCAATCTCCAGGTGAGGGCTACAGATCACTCACAATTACAACTGCTCTTCAGGTAGCAGAGATCAGTTCCTCTGGAGAAAACAGTGGACTCTGTCATTATACCCTGCTGAGGTCACCACAGCAAATTGACACTGTTTGCCCAAAGCCAGAGCACTCCCCCAGAGCCTCTTTCTAGATCTCGTTGTATTGCTTTCACAACGGGCTTTACTGCTAGTTGTTAATAAAACTGCAAACTAAAGACAGATTGTCTTCAGTGTTCCTGTAAAATTTGATGTTCTTCTACCAATTCTCCCTTTCTTTTAGAAGTTAGTATGAAATAGTTGATAAGTGTATATGGATAATAGAAAGAGTTTAAATACCAGTTCGCCTTTAATAATTTGATTTTTTCAGAACATCAAAATGCATTCTTCAGTCTGCTGCCTACCATGTTTTTCAAGGCTGCATCTACACAAATTAGCTGTATCTTATCTAGACAAAATATGATGGGAGTAAACAAAAATAGATTTGAAACTTGATCTTTTTTGAGGAAGATCAACCTAAGTTGTCCTGTGACCCAGATAACAATGGTTCTGACGTGGATGACTGAAATCCAGACTGTGAGTCACAGATGGCTTCTAAATGTGCCTTCCTTCCATGTTTCTTTTCTTTAGCCTCCACAAACTGTATACCTAGCCAGTGTTCCTATAGGTAAAATTGTGCATTTGGATGTTTGTCTGCATCTTTACTTACCCTTCTGAAGGGAGATTTCTTCCCTTCTTTCTGTTTAAGAGGAGATGCTTAAAACTGACAGGTCCTTTTGAAACAGAGACCAGGCTGTACTCATAGTAGAATTATCCCTCCTGATGATATATTAAATCTTCCTAGTAATCAAGAATGATACCTCTCCTTTTTTCTTTCCTGTTTTAAATTGAAAGAATTATCCTTGCTGCCATATAAGACCATCAAAAGTATCTAATAATCAAGTACCAATTAAAATTAATATAACAAACGCAGCAGTAAAACCATAACAAAAAGTGGTTGCTTGCTTAGTTATTAAAAGCACAAATAAACAAGACTGACTTCACCTGCTTTGTGAAAGATGTTCCAGAAGAGTCTGACTTTGGAGACAGTTCTATAGCTGGTTCTCTCTGGTAACTATCCCCTCATTATCAGGGGCCTCTGATAACAGATCTTAATTGGTGGGCAGTTTCCTTTAAATGAAACTGTGCACTTGGGGTTTCTTCCTTAAAGAGGCAGACTTTGATTGAGGCTGACATGAAACTTGGAGGCTGGATTAATATGCTTGAAAATAATTGTTCTCTATGTTTGATTTTAACCTGTTTGCACTTATGAAACATGTGAATCCATCAAATACTGAGTTGACCATTGGTTCATCTAGCCCGGTATTGCTTATTTAGATAGATAATGACTGTCCTGGTTCATGGGCTGAGAAGAGGTCTCAGATAGCAGGTGTTGGGAAAGACCTTTAACTGGAATGCCTGAGATTGAATTAGTACATGAAGAATTTCAGTTGGTGTTAAGAGTTCTACATAGCGTTTGATATATTACTTTAAAGGCACCCCGACCTGCAGATAATAGTGTAGTAAGAATTTTCTACTGCCACTCCCTGTGTATATATGTTTGGACCTGTAATGTGTGTTGAAATGCACACTAGTTTGTCCTTAGTGTCTCCCTTCTCATAGAATAGAGACACTAAGGCAGCGTTAACATATGTTGTTTCATCTGACTCAAGAACTTTTCACATTCATCCCAGGCTTCTGTGAGGATAAAATTGAATGAGAGGGTATATTTACATTTTTTTAATTAACAATTTTTGTATTTTACAGCATCAAATATTAGATACATAATAGTGCAATTAGTTACAAACGTTATTAAAACATTAATATAAACCAAACAGAAATTTCAAAAATAGATCAACTTTTGATATTGTGGGTTACTTGGAATAATTTATTTTCCTAACAAAAAACTGATAACAGGGTACCAAACAGCAACAATGTTTTGTTATAATTTTCTAGTGATGAATCTAATAACATTAAAGGACAATTTTTGCAGTATAAAGTGTTCCCATATACGATTATACCATTGAGCCATTGTGGGAGGTTTTGTGTCTACCCATTTGGAAGCTATTAACAAATGTGCAATTGCAATTAAAATTGTTATTAGTTCTCTGTTTTTGTTTCTAGTCAAACTTTGCCTCCACAAGAGGGTATATTTACATTTGAAGGAGATATCCACAATGCCATACCCAGTGCCTGTGAAAATAATTCCATTGAGCGATGGTATTTCTTACCTATGCAACTAAGATTCTTCAGGAAGATACTTTCAACATCCCAAGTCTTAGAGTCTTTCACCATAAATGTGCAGTTGTATGTGCACTTATGCCATCCCATTGAACACAGTGGGATTTACCCTGGCTCTGGGTGAGGACAGCTGGATATCCTTCGGGCCGGGATCACCAGGAGGATTACTGTGGCTAGGTCAGGGTGAGACAGGAAGGGGGCCAGTTGCCTGATCTGGCACAGCTGGAGAAATGCCAGTCTAGCAATGTTTCTGACCTGGACTTCCATAGATAGGGAGGAATCCAGGAACACACCCAGGCTCTTGGTGTTCAGCACTGGTGATAGAGGTACACCATCAAGAGCTGGGAGTTGACACCCCAGCCCTGTAATTGCTCCACCCAGCCATAGAACCTCCATCTTTATAGGATTCAGTTTCAGCCGGCTCTGCTTCAGCCAACCACCTATGGTCTCCAGCCCTTCAGCCAGAATAAATGGGGTGGTATCTGGCTGGCCATCCATCAACAGATACAGCTGGGTGTCGTCAGCGTACTAACAACCCAGCCCAAAACTCCGCACCATCTGGGCAAGGGCACACATATAGATGTTAAACAGCATTAGAGAGAGGATTGCCCCTTGAGGGACCCCATATACTAGGGGGTGTTGGGGTGACACCTTCTCTCCTAGTGCCACCCTCTGTTCCCGACCATGGAGGAATGAGGTAAGCCACTTCAAGGCCACCCCATGAACTCCTACGTCAGTGAGGCAGTGGGTCAACAGGTCATGGTCGACTGTGTCAAATGCTGTTGTCAGGTCTAGTAATAACAGCAGCGCTGAGCTGCCTCAATCCAGCTGTCTACGAAGTTTGTCTGCGAGGGCGACCAGCCTTTAGTCTGGATAACAGTGAAATCATCCTTGAAAGTTGGTGCAGAAACTTTCATATGTTAACTACAATGCTGATGCCATGTCTGCTTCAGAGTCCAGGGATTGAGAGTAGTTTGCATCTTTATTTTCATCCATTGCCATCCAAGCTTTCTGACTTCTCTCTAGGCAGGAGGGATGCCTGGCATGGCTTTCCATGCAGATTTGTAGTCACTGTAATATAAAGTCATATAGCCTTAATTGTTAGATTCCAAATTCAGTGATAATAAAACTATGCTACTGAACTGTATTTGGGCATATTTGTGTTTTAGTATGGACTGAAAAACTTCATTTTGGGGAAAAAGAGAATTTGACAATTGTATTCCTGCCTTGTTTGTGTTAGTTTGTAAGCTGTCTTGGGAATCCAACCAGTTGGGGTATCATCAGATACAAAGGCTTGAGGACAGCAAAGGTGGCCTGGGACTGATTAGCCTAACCCTAGTCCAACCACTTAAAGCCCTGGGTGGAGCCATTTTAGTTTTTTTAAAAAGTAGAAATAGCCCTCATGAAATTGTTCATTGTAACACTGAAATCTGAACTTTCAGTTTCTCAGATCACACCTGGTTGCGGGTGTCTTGCTTCTGCCCCTTTGAGAATCTTCAGTTCTTTCCATGTTGTTATTTATAGATGTAATCTGATTATGAACCAGAATCAATCCAAATACAAAATCCTGGCATAATAAGTTAGAGAACATAGTACACAGTGAGCATGGCTGCACACCAACCAGGTTTCCCTGCCTTTATGGCAAAGTATGCTGCTGTCTTTTTAGGAGAGCACTTTTTTTCTTAGCATCTTTTCTTCATTTTACAGAGCTGACATAAAAAGAGGGTGTAAGTGTCCTAAATGCATATCTGTGGTTTTCTTTTTCCTAGGAGTCGCAAGGACAGTTTAGAAAGTGAGAGCTCAGCAACAATTATTCCTCATGAGTTGATTCGTACAAGGCAGCTTGAGAGTGTACACCTGAAATTCAACCAGGAATCAGGAGCGTTAATTCCACTGTGTTTAAGGTGAGAGGAAGTTCTGTTCTCCTGTAAGGGCTCAGGTATTGGAGCGGTGCCTTTTGGAAGCTGCTTTGGGTTATCATTCTCAAACTTTAAAAGGCTAGAATGAATATATTTAAGAAGACATTTGTCCATGTGACATTCACTAGTGAATATATGCACCAGCACTAGCACATGAAATGCTGCATGTATGCATGCACAAATAGTATAAAACTAAGTTCAGAGTGTTGCAGACTTAAATTGGCCTGCCTCCAGAAGATGTTACTTAGCACCTTATAAAAATGCTCTTGGCAATTCTTGTTGTATTGTGGCTCACTATGTAACACAGGATCTTTGATGTGGTCTCTGTGCTTCACACCCATGGGATACAGTGCGCCTGCACTGGATCAATTGGTATTGTACCAAGCTCTAACGGATTTTTGCACCCAGACCTCAGGCATGCGCAGGAACCCCACCACGCATGCCCAGAGGGGTGGGCGCAGACATCTCGCCAGTTCATTTCTTTCCGTCGCGCTGGAAGCACCTTCCTTTTGTCGGTCAGATTGATAGCTATTTTCCTCAGAGGCTCTTCGGATTTCTCTTCAGTTTTTCTCTTAGTTTTCCACTTTTACCTTTGCTTATTCGTTGTTTTCTTTTAAAAAAAAAAGACTTTGTTTAGTTTGAGGGGGAAGCACCTTCCTTTTGTCGGTCAGATTGATAGCTATTTTCCTCAGAGGCTCTTCGGATTTCTCTTCAGTTTTTCTTAGTTTTCCACTTTTACCTTTGCTTATTCGTTGTTTTCTTTTTTTTTAAAAAAAAAGACTTTGTTTAGTTTGAGGGGGAAGTTTTTTGTCCTACCTCAGTTTGGCTTTTGGGTCCCCCCACCTCTTTTTCTTCTCCATCTTGCTTATTTTATGGAGAAGTGGGGCTTTTTCAAATGTTGTAAGGGGTGCGGCAGTAAGCTCACTCCACCTGACGGCCATACCCTTTGCATTTTTTGTCTTGGCAAGACGACCAGAGTCCTGTCGACAGTGTGCCAAGTTTTCAAATCAAACCAGGAAGAACCGAGCGGCACGTCTCCAGGTGGCGTTACTGGAATTGGTGCTAAATCTCGCTTCCGTCATGGATCCAGAAGTACTGGTAAGACTATCGACATCAGCGGCTCTGGTATCGAAGTCCTCGTCCGGCATCGTCCAGTCAACATCGAAGTGTCCGGCACCGACGGCACAGTCTTCGGCGTTCACTCCCGTGAAAAAGAAGGAGAAATCGGGTAAAGAGTTCAAGTCTGCCAAAGAGGGTTCCTCTAAGGCCCTAAAGGCGGCGAAGTCTGGAAAAGTCGCGGGTCCTTCACCAGGTAATGCCCCTAAGGTGTCCCCCGCTCCAACGACAGTATCGGCATCGGAGGCTCCAGTCGCTCCATCGATACCGACCATCCAGCTGATGGACTCTCCAGTACACCAGCTAGATCACGACACGCTGGTCAATATGCATCCTTTCTCCGACATCGATAATGTCGAGATCCTCAGTCGTCCCCTGGGCACGGATCGCTCCCCCTCTGCTCAGTCATCGACATCGACAGTCTCGGAGCTCCATGCCGATATCGATCCAGGTCGGCATCGACAGATTTCTCCAAACACTCAACGTCATCCTCCCCTTCTGTTTGCCGAGGATCGGCCTTTCGATATCGATGATCGGGCTAATAGGGGCTGCTCACGGAGACGAGAAGCTACACTATCTCCCAGACGCTCCCGTTCTAGGAGTAGATCCCCACGAGTCTTCCTGCCCCCACCATCTCCTGCTCTTTCCTGGGATCACCGTCAACTACATTATCTCTATGAGGCTTATCCACCCGCATCCATGCCGTGGTTGACTCCAACAGGTTACTCTGATTGGGATCGTTACTCTGCTCACAGATCACGATCACCCCATAGATCGAGGCCCTCAGCATCTCTTTCCCATCCTCTAGATCATCCATCTGATGACCCTCCTCGACATCGACTGGATCAATATCGTCCTCCCAGTCCTCCTATCTCACTGCCAACAGATCCAACCGGTCAGATCAAAACCACTCCGGTACAATTACCAGAGCCCGATTCCTCTGACTCTGCAGATGAGGATTCTGATACGGGGGCTTCAGATGTACACAGCTCCCCTGACCAGCCTTCTCCGAACCAGGCAGTAGCCGATGATCAACCTATATCTCCATCTGAAAATTTAACTTCCTACGGAGACCTCATGAAAAGAATGGCCCACTCCCTTGACCTTTCAGTCGTACAACCACAACCACAGGTTACAGATGCCGTTTTCGATGTGGTACAACTAGATACATCGACGGCTATAGCACTACCCATGTCCATGGTCCTGTTACAGGCAGCTAAAGCTCCATGGGATAAACCGTCATTGGCTCCAGTGTCCACACGCCACTTGGACCATATGTATAGAGTCCAAGAAACAGGAACGGAATTCTTATTTGCCCATCCTCAACCAAACTCAATGGTAGTTACTTCCTCATCCAAGTCAAAGAGAACCCATTCTGCCCCTTCAGACAGGGAGAGCAGAAAGCTAGATGCATTCGGATGACGTTTCTACTCTACTGGAGCACTAGGGGTGAAGACCACCAACTACTTAGCGTGTATGAGTAGATACCAATACACTTTGTGGGAGAGGCTCTCCGAGCTCTTGGCAAACCTTCCAGAAGATAAGCGTCAGGCAGCCTGCATCATCCAAAAGGAGGGCATGGTGCTGGCAAAACAACAAATTAATACCTCTAAACATGCCCTAGACACCTGCTCAAGGACAATGGCTTCAGCCATAGCTCTCCGAAGACATTCCTGGCTACGTAACACCAATCTACAGCCAGATACTAGATCATACGTAGAGGACCTCTCCTTCGATGGCCTTGGTCTGTTTAATAGTACCACAGACACCATATTACAAGATATGGATAAAAGCATAAAAGCTTCTCATGCTCTGGGCGTTACTTCATCCACGAGGCAGCAATACTGGCCTTGTCCCTGGTCTAGACCCTGGCAAAAATGTACCCCAAACAGTCAGTCTCCTGACCGGCAATGGAGGCCACGTACATCCTCTGGAGGCCAGAAGCCCACATTTCAGAAACCTAGATTTGGATTGGGACAACAATCCTCCCGCAATAAGCAGGCAAAGTCCACCAAGCAGGGTTTTTGACTTCCATGTCTTCCAGTCACATCCAACCCGTCTAACCCCCTTCCTCCAAACTTGGCACCTCATCACCACAGACGAATGGGTGCTGTCCATCTTGATCCAGTGTTACCACATAGAATTTATTCAGAACCCCATTACTCTTGTCTTCATCGCCACACCCCCTTTTCCAGCCCTTCTGGAAGAAGTGTCCGTCCTTCTGCACAAGGGAGCCATCGAGCCGGTGCCACTGCATCTACAGGGCAGGGGATTCTATTCTCGCTATTTCACCATTCCAAAGCGGAATGGAGGCGTTCGACCAATCTTAGATCTACGGGCGCTAAACTGCTTTGTGAGCGGTGGCACATGGCGTTAAAAAGCCTGCAGGTTAATCCTGCAGGTTAATCTAGCCGTACTGCCGACGGCAGTTCGAGTCCCACCGTGGCTGGGGTGAGCTCCCGGCCCTTTGTCCCAGCTCCCGCCCACCCAGCGGTCCGAAAGCCTGTACAGGCAAGTAGGTAAATGGGTACCTGCTCCTTACGAGCGGGGGGCACCTTTCCTCCGTGATTGGTGTTAGAAAGCAGCGACGGAGTGACGGAGCGAGCGACGGAAGACCGGTGCCTGGAACAGCATGACGTTGCGGCAAGGACTGGAGCCGATTGGACAAAGAGTCCAGCTGCCTCGTTCGTGTTCTGTGGGGGCCATCTGCTGGAAGGAAGCCGCTACTGCAGAGGAAACTACCATCGAAAGTCCACCGTCGAATCCAAAGGAAAAGATCCTGCTGTTAGTTGCCTAGTTAAGAAAAAATACCCCCACACACACCATTGTACCCTAGCTTAGATAAATTGTGTATGTGTCTGTAAACCACTCTGAGCCATATGGATAGGGCGGTATATAAATCGCAAATTGTATGTATGTATGTATGTGAGCTACCACCGTTTCCGCATGGTGTCCTTGCAGCAGATTCTGCCACTTCTCCAGAAGAACGTCTGGATGGCCACCCTCGACCTCCAGGACGCGTACTTCCACCTCACCATCCACCCGTCCCACCGCCAATACCTACGCTTTGCAATTGGTCAACATCACTACCAATATGCAGTTCTGCCATTCGGCCTTTCAAGTGCACTGAGAGTCTTCACAAAGACGATGGTGGTGGTCGCGGCCTTCCTTGGTCTCAAGGGTATCTCCATCTACCCATACATCAATGATTGGCTCTTGCTTGCGACTTCTAGGGACGCCCTAGTCTCAAATATCAACGAGACGCTAACCCTCCTGGGAAACTTGGGTCTGCAAGTAAATTGGGAGAAGTCTCAACTTCAACCGGTCCAGAAAATACACTACATCGGTGCACTACTGAACTCCACAAATTGTACAGCCTACCTGCCACAAAACAGAGCTGTCAACATCGTCAATCTAGCCACTGTCATGTGTACTTGGCCTTCAGTGACGGCCTTCCAAATACAAAGGCTACTCTGCCTAATGGCCGCTACTACATCAGTCCTGGTTTTTGCCAAGTTGAGAATGCGCCACCTGCAACTCTGGTTTATCCGCAATTTCAATCCAGAGCGAGACACACACTCGACCCACCTATCCCCTCCTGTCAAAGTACAGGACTCTTTACTTTGGTGGACCGCCCCTTCCAACCTTTTCCAGGGAGCACCATTCCATCCTCCATCACCCCAACTTACTCTGACTACAGATGCCTCTTTCTTGGGCTGGGGCGCCCACATGATGGTACTTTGTGTCGGAGACAGATGGGACACACAGAAACGGAATCGGCACATCAATTTTCTGGAACTGCTTGCGATACAGTTTGCTATCACCAGTTTCCTGCCCCTGATCAAGGGGAAGTGTGTCATGGTCCTCACGGACAATACTACTGCCCTCATCTACGTAAACAAGCAAGGGGGCACTGTGTCCCAACGCCTCTGTGACCTCGCCCTTCGGTTATGGGACTTCTGCATCACCCACAATGACTTCCTAGTCGCCAGGGACATCCCGGGGCACATGAATGTGCAGGCGGACCACCTGAGTCAGGCAGGATTCAGTTTGCACGAGTGGGAAATGAATCCGACTTACCTTCTTCCACTCTTCCGCAAGGGGGGGTTCCCCCAGATAGATGTTTTCACCACCAGGGCGAACAAAAAGTGTCCTCTGTTCTGCAGCCGAGGTGGCAGGGACCCGCAGTCTTTATGGGACGATCTTCTCTAACCATGGTCCAGATAATTTCTTTTCCTCTTCCCTCCACTGCCTCTACTTCTGAGAGTGGTCCACAAAATCATCAGCGACAGAGCGGACTGCATCCTCATAACACCGTGGTGGCCGAGGCAACCATGTTTCTCAGTCGGGCTCTACCCTGGAAGACCTGGACCGGGCGCTTCAGGATGTGGTGGGATGGCTGAGACTGAGCCGATTGAAATTGAATCCGACGAAGACAGAGGTCCTGTGCCTGAATCGGAGCGGCTCCGGGGTGGAAATCCCATTGCTGGCCTTCGATGGGGCGCTGTTGGTGCCAGCGTCACGGGTCTGGAGTTTGGGAGTGCTCCTGGATGCTTCCTTAACAATGGAGACCCAGGTAGCAGCCACTGTCAAGGCAACCTTTTACCATCTTCGGCTGATTAGGCAGTTGGTTCCCTTCCTCGAGAGCAAAGACCTGGCGTCAGTGATCCATGCTATGGTCACCTCGAGGTTGGACTACTGCAATGCTCTCTACATGGGGCTGCCCTTGGGGCAACTTCGGAAGCTGCAGCTGGTGCAAAACGCGGCAGCCAGGCTGCTGATGGGCCTCCCAATGCGGGAGCACATCCAGCCTGTGTTAAAGGCGTTGCACTGGCTGCCAATAGCATTCCGGATCCGCTTCAAGGTGCTGGTTTTGACCTTTAAAGCCCTATATGGTCAGGGACCTGTCTACCTGAGGGACCGCCTTTCCCCGTATGTTCCCCAGAGAACACTGAGATCTGGGATGCAACATCGCCTGACCCTTCCTGGCCCTAAAGAGGCCAAGTTGACAACAACTAGGTCTAGAGCATTTTCACTAGCTGTACCAGCATATTGGAACGAGCTCCCTAGTGAGATCCAGGCCCTGCGAGATCTCCAGCAATTCCGCAGGGCCGTGAAGACGGAGCTTTTCCACTGGACATACTGGTGAGAGCGACAGGATGCCACCCAAGCTTGCCGACCTGCTAAGACATGTATACTGTATAGGTAGTTAACAATGTGGTCGATGTCTAGTTGTAATGATTTATCAAACCGCTTTTACTTATACTTATATTTATTGTATTTATGTAAAGTTGTTTTATGGACTGATGTTTTATCCATGTTGGTTTTATTAATGCTGTGAGCCACCCTGAGCCGCTTCGGCGGAATGGCAAGATAAAATGAAGATATGGAATAAAATAAAAGAACAACATTATAAGAAAACACCAAAATGGGTGGCACCCCTGGAGGCCTTCGTAATCCCAACTTTAACGAATGAGCATAACACAAGAACCTACCAAACTTTCTTGGACGAAGATAACCGATTGAAATCTTGGCAAGAACTACAAGCATTGAGTATAAAGCTAACAATATGGGAAAGGAACCAACTAAGCTCAAGATTCACAAAAGATAAAAAAAATAGACTTTTATAATACAGAAACGCAACTAGATAAGATATGGTTGAAAGGGAAAGATAAATTGATCCAAAAAATCTATAACTTCCTATTAGATGAAGAATTAAAAGAGGAGTTGAAAAAACCGACAGCGATTAGTTGGGAAAAAGATCTTGGTCGAAACATAGAGGGAGCGGAATGGATAAAAACCTGGAAATCAATTAAGCTATTGAGAGCAACCTCCTATAAAGAAAACATAATAAAAATGATACACAGGTGGCACTGGACCCCAGATAGATTGCAAAAATGGTATACAAATGTTTCGGGATCCTGTTGGAGATGCAAA